GACCCCCACTTTCGAATTTGAAACAAAATTCAATTCCATTCATTTGTGCTTAATTTGTACCGTTTTATACTTTTAATCCAATTGTTTGTGTTCAACCTCTTCCCAAGTTATCCAACTTTTAAAGTTTAAGGATAAGATTTATTCCCAGCTATTTCTCTTTGTAAGTTAATGATAACTGTTTCACCTCATTATAACACGACAATCATTAATGGTATAATGATACTGACGTGGAACCATTTTTGAAATACTTTGAACACTTTTAAAATAATATATTTAAATTAAACGTTCTAATTCTTTTTAAAAAGTTATTAAAGTTGCCTATATTAAACCTCTCAATTAATAGGTGTATATTATTTTTATAATTCTTTTTTTTTGCCTGTAAATTTTGTTTTTTTTCTGAAGCAATTTAGATCACCCAAAAAATTATTTTTAAATTGTTTTTGAAGTAACAGTTAAAAAACAGGAATCATTAAAAAAAAAAAACAGTTCAATTTTATTTTATTAATCCAATTTAAAAATAAATGATACTAGAGACTTGATTTTTTTACCAAATATTAATATCTTCATTTATTAAACACGGCATATGTAATTTTAAACATATTTTGATCTTTTAGTAACATTTATAAATATTTGAAATCCGAAATTTTTGTTTAGTTTAATGTATGATAAAATATTTGTTTTGGGGTAATAATTGTAAATACATTACAAGGATTCTCATAAGTTGCTCTATATTTAAATATAATGTTAAATAATACGAATAATTATAATATTATATATATATTTAGGTTATAGATGTTTCGAGGTTGTAGATAACATTGCTTCTTCTCTAGAAAGAACTTCATTATTAATATTAACTCATATCTCTCTAATCATACCTTCCAAATGCGCTGTGAAGATGTTCTTTCTGAAACTCATACTGCTAAAGCAGGTGTATCTCAAGGTAGCATTCTTGCACCCACGCTCTATAATATTTACACATCTGATATTCCTCACTCAAACCTTACTAGCCTAGCTACTTTTGCCGATGACACAGGCATAACATCTTCTGATACAGATACAAATAAGTCAACGGGGAACCTTCAATCCCATCTAAATGACTTACAAAATTGGTTTAATCTATGGAGAATAAAAATAAAATAAAACAAATCATCACATATCACATTTCAATCAAAACCAAAAGAAAATCAATGAAACTAAAACTACATAAACCTCGTCAACTTCTCCGTTCTAAAATATTACTTAGTAGTTAGTGACAAAACTCTTATATACAAACAATTAATTCGTCCTGCATTTACATACGGTATTCAAATCTGTGGTTCAACCAAAAACTCAAACCTAAATCTTCTCCAATCCTTTCAGTCGATTAGTCTTCGTCTTCTGACAAATACACCTTGGTATATTAGTAATCATACAATTATAAAGACCTGAACATTCCAACTCTTCACACCCTCGCTTCAACACACTATAAACAATTAATTCTAAAACAAATAATCATCCAAACCCACTTATTTCTAACCTCTCCTCTAAGACTTTCTCCGATAACCCTCCCCGTCGACTAAAACGAAATTGGCCTCGTGATTTACTTCGCTAAAAAAAAACCAGTTTGATGTAGTGTCAATGGACGCGCCCTTCACTCAAGCCTCCAAACCATGTAAAAAATCTCAAATTTACTTATTGTATTATTATGTTACAGATTGTAAATAAATTTATATTATAAATTAAAAAAAAAGATGTTTCGGGTTAAAAATTGAAATCGAAAGTTTAACAAAACTTATCAAAATGACGAAAGCTATTTTATAGTCATAATTTTTTTTATCTCAGACTTGAAAATTAGATTTTTTAAGATTATTTATTAAATTAACAACAAATTTAGTCAGGAACATGTGAGTGATAGAATATCATACTTTGTCATAAATATAAAAATTTTTCAAACACAGCATATGGATTTTAGTTTATTTTAAAAATATCAATGAAGACTTCAAATTTTTACGTACATTGTTATAATTTATTGCAATTAAATTATATAAATATTCAGTCTCACTTTAAACCGTTAAAGCTATTACCTTTTATAACCCTCACTCATACAATTACAACGAATTTTGAGCAAGGGGGGAAACAATGCTGATAGCAGTCCCCTCCCTGGTTCTCGATACCACGAAAAAAAAGTTACACCGTACTATTAAATATTAATACATTACATAGTACTAATATAATTAATATTTATAATTGCAATATGATTAAAAATAATTATTATATTATTTATTTTAATATTGTGTAAAAAAAGATATAAGTATCTGAATATAATATATATATAAGTAGTAAATCTGTACATAAATTATTTAGGTACGTATTACTTACGTAATGTTAATAATTATATATTTTTCTATTATTTCTATTTGATTTTTATATGATTTTTTTTTTAAATTATTGTATTTAAATACGATAGATATATTATAATTAAGGCCTGGATTTAAATGTACTCAAAACCATACAAATATGCTCTAAAAAATAGCCAAACATGTCCTTAAAAAAAGCATTTTACCTCAAAAAATGACCTTAAAAATGCCATTTATATTTATTTTTTTATACAATTTGTTATTTTAATTTGTTATTTATTATTAAAATATATTTATTACTTTATTGAAAAAAAAAATTGGAAAAATTGACTTGATGCTGCTATGATAAAACATACCAGTGGAGTTTACATATTTTTTTCATGCCAAAAAAATGTACCGGTGGAGTTAAAAATTTTTTTTAGGTAAAATAAACGTACCGGTGGAATTTACATGAAAAAAAAGGCCTAAGGTCACAATCGGTGGAGTTTACATGCACCCAATATACTATTACATATTAGCACCTAATATATGCTTATTACTCAGAAGCGTTTTTTGTGGCAATGATTTATTATTCATAACAAGATACCCTTAATTTCAATTGTATTGCAGTGCAGCTAACTACTAGACATTTTTTATTTTAAAACATTTATAAACAATATTATTTCATTACTTATCGATTTTATACTATTTGACAAAAATTAATTATTTAAATCGCTTACCGGCATATTTAATTTATTTAAAATTTAAGCAGTTTTAATAATCGTAACTTAAACAATTTCAAAATTATACTCCTGAAATGCTCTTAAATTTCCATATTGTAATGACCTCTAGGCCACCAACTACGCGGTAAGGTGATAGTTACAAATGTTACTATATTTTAAATAAACTGGTGGTCAACATTACTGATATAATTGAAGTTTCAGCACTTCAATTTTAAATTGCGCATTAAATGATGAGCGATTTAATGATAAATAATTAACTATAAAAAAATGATTGCAGCCACAGTTATAAAATATTAATAATATATTATTAACACTTACATAAATAAAAAAAAGATTTAAATAAATAATACATATAATTAACATATAAATATAAGTTTGGTTTAAATTGTATTTTTAATTTTTTTTTTTATTGTTTTTGGACTTACTTATACCTTAGGTTAGGTAACAAATTAATACAATTAACATATAAATATAAGTATGCATATTAATATAATGGCAGTATATGTATAGATGAATATAATGTAAGATTAACCTATAATATGTCATAATAGTTTAACAATAGAGATATTTAAAAAAAAATTGTCTGCCATTTATTCTTAATAACCAAATTTTACATACAAAATATAAATATAGGTAATATAATCTGGTCATACTAAATAAATTCACATCCACGCATATTGTATGATAACTGATAAGCTTATAAGCTACTTTTTAACCAAATAGCTCGTGGAACACGAACCCAAGTATTATGGGCTAGTATCCTCAAAATAATGATGTTTCATTGGCATTTATTTTTTGTTAATAAAAGGGTCTTTAAACTATGTATGCCCAAGGGCCTCTGCACAGACAAAGGTGACTCTGGATAAATTCGTATACTTATACCTAAATGTCCTAAATACCAACATATAGGATGTATAATAAGAACAGTTTTTTATAAATTGAGTGTGTTCAAATTATACAAATTATGGAAATGTATACTGAACGCAATTACATTAATATTATCTAAATTAATATTTCAAACTCATAGTTTATTTTTGTTCGGATTTTAACTTGTGCAACAATATCAACACATTTTTATTGTAATAACGTTCATTGTGGAAAAGTGTCTTTGAAAAATAACGTTCCCTATTAAAAAATAATAATAATATCATTTTATATTATCATCTCTCCTGTTTGGTGTTCCACTCTGGGAATTCACCACCACTGTAATGGTCAGGCAATGGTCGCCGCTGCTGATACCGGAGGTGACGGCGTTGGTGACTGTGGCGGTGGAATCGGTGGTGGAGGTGGTGCTATCGAGTGGGGCCACACGGTTGCGGCAGTGCACGGTGGCGTTGTGCTCAGATGGTGTGACGGATGGCGGCCGGCCGCAATGCTGCCCGCAGCTGTGGCCGCGTATACCATCGCGTGATGGTAGTAACTGCTGCAGTACGTG